AAAATTATAGCTGAAGATTTCAATATTTCTCTCTCAGGAATAGATAGGATATAGAGGACTTGAATAACACTATCATATGGGACCTAATTAACGGTTATAGAACACTCTATAAGAGCAGAATACAAATTCTTTTCCAGTGCAGTTGGAACTGTCACTAAGATAGACTATATTTCGAGCCATAAATAAACTTCAAATATAAAAGAATAAAAACCATAATAAAGTATGTTCTCAGACCTCAAGAGAATTAAACTAGAAATACAAAGCTTACGGAAAATTACCAAGTACTTGAAAATTAAATGACGCTTCTAAATAACAAAGAGACCATTTAAAAAATTACAAGGGAGATTAGAAAGATTTTAGAGACTAAAAATGAAAACACAACATATAAAAATTTGAGGAATATTGCTAATACAGTGCTTACAGAGAAATTTATAGTATTACAAGGTGTTATTAGAAAAGAAGAAAGGTTTCAAATCAACGATCAAGGCAGGAGTTGGGAAATTTTTGTGTAAAAAGCTAAATGGTAAATATTTTAAGTTTTGTAGGTCAGATAGTCTCTGTTGCAACTACTCAATTTTGCTATTTTGCACAAATGCAGCTATAGGAAATATGGAAATGTGGCTCTGTTCCAATAAAACTTATTTATAAAACAGGCAGTAGGCCTGATTAAATACATGAGCCATATTTGCTGCCCCCTGCTAGAATATCAGCTCCATAAATGTGGAGAATTTCATCTGTTTTATTAACTGCTGCATCTTCAAAAGGCTAGAACAGTGCATGGCCTTTAATACATTCCTAATAAATATTTGTTGAATGAATAAACTAAATCCCCAGAACAAGCATATGAGTTAAATATTATCATTTTAAAAATGAGTATACTAAGATGAAATAATTTGCCACACCACCAATCAGTGATAGAACCAGTATTTAAGCACAAGTCTGTCTAATTCCAAAGTTCTGTATATTTTCCTCTATACTACACTGATACGGCAAAAGCATACTGAATAATTGTAAAAGCATCATACCATGAAATACGTATTTTCCACCTGTCATTTTCCTTACCCATGGTTTGTAGTTTCCTGAGAATTAGGACCAAATGAACAAGACACCAATATGTTAAAACCATAACTATAACTATATGTTTATGTCTTTATCTATACCATAATCTTTCTATTTCTATACCTGTATCTATAGATTTAATATTTGGACTACAATTGATGCAACTAAACCACTCAAATGAATCTTGAACATAACCCTCTTAGTGGTACTAGCAGGAAGACTAGAGTTAGCTTCTTTAAAACAGACATCTAGAAGACTAAATCAATTTTGTGCACTCATATATGTAGCATCCATGAGTATGACATTAATTTGTATTTGTTCTTTTAAAACGCACAAAGATTTGAAAGCTCTGATGTAAAGACAAACACCAAAACATCCTTTGCCTTAAGAATCCCTCATTTCAGTTCTACCCACGTAGAAGTGGCGGGCCCTTGGCTGTTGTGTCACTTGTATACAGCAGCCCTGTCCAGTGTGCTGCTGCTACATGCTTTCAGTAACCAGTTCCCGTAGCTGATCTTACACATCTGCTTCCTTTCACAAGTCAAGAATCCATGGCAGCTGTTTTTCAAAAATAGGCATTAGGAAAGCCAGAGCAGTTCTGAATGTAGATTCAAAAGACTGCACATTTTTTCACATTTATGTAGCTTGCCTGGGGTTTTACCACCATCATCATGATAATCAGGGAACTCAATGGAGCCAACTACTGTTTTGTTAAATTTTCTCTTTTCAGATGTTCAGGGCAGAATTTTAAAAAAATCTATATACATGGGACCAATGCTGCATACTAAGAAGCTATAAAGAATGAGACAAAATAGTATCCGCAACGTTTGCCCGCCTTAAAATTAATGTTTATTATAATCTGACATTGTGATGATTAATGAGGATGCCATGATGCAGAAAAACTCAAGGCTTTACAAGTATTGAAAGATTATTAAACTCACTGAAAAGATAAAAGTAAATGAAAATGATATAATAAATCTGAACTTTTTAGCTTTTTGACTGCCAGATCTTGCAATAAAAATATTTCTAAATTTTATTAATCAACATAAATATTTGAAACAAACAGAAATAGATTGCTCACTGAAACTATATAAGGAGGCTAGACTGTACCTTATCCAGAGCAAGAAATCTGTCCTCAAGAGTTTAACTTTTGGTACTTGAACATGAACTTAGGACAAGCAGGTTGTACTAGTTACTGTAAAATATATTCTTGTTTATGCCAATGTATTTTAAGGTAAATATTTCCTCTTTGATGTTAAGCAATAGAGCATTTAAGAAGCTAAAAATAATAGCCATTATTTATGGAATGCTTTTAGTGTTCACTTTTCATTTTCTCCTCACTTAATCCTAACAAAAACATGTACTCCAGATTGTATAATTTGTAAGGAGTAGGGCTGAAATTCAAATCAGATTTCTTCCAAGCCAAAAATCTTGATTCTTCAGCTGTCTTGCATCCAAAAGAATTAAATACATATACTGCATATTACACATAAAGAAACCAAAAAGTTAATATCAGTTACTAAGAGAATAAAAGAAATGCTCATCGGAAATGACACTACCAACTTCCATTACCACAAAGAGTGCAACCAGACACAAGAGTACTTTTTATGCTTAATTTTTCTCAAATTAAGTTCCACCTTCAGAACTTCAGAGTTCCCCACTGCCACCTGACTAGGTCCAATTCTTTGGAAACTCATGAGCGTCAAATCATATTAAGAAAATTGTAAAGTAATAAACATTGATGTTTTAATTTTTCATAGGAATCTCAACAGGACATGTAAAAATGTGATACATGTTGGAAAATCTTTCCTACAAATGACTACATAACACGTACCATCGCTATGAGAGCTGCCTGGCTCACTGTGTGCTAAATCATAATATAAACAAATCGTATACTGACTTTTTCAGGATGCCCAAGTTCCCTGACAGCAAAAACATGTTAAACATGTTTCTACTCCATACCCAGGACTACTGTGCTAACTGATGACAAAACTCATTAACAGTCCAACAACATAGATATATTTAAAACTCTATTGCTTTTGCTCACAGTAACCAATGCTATTCCCTTTTCTGCTATGTATCTCCAACTTCTTCCTCTACACTTATTGAATAATAACAATCCCACTTATCTAGCATGTAGTATGTTCAAGCTCTGCGATACATACTTTGTATGTATTATATCATTTATTTCTTCACATAGCCCTATAAAGTAGGTACTGGTATATCATTCCCATTTCATAGATGAGGAAACATAGGCAACTGCTTCAAGTTACACTGCTAGCAAGTGACCAAAATAGAATTTCAAAGCAGGTCTGTCTCACTAAGGAGTCCTTGCTCTTAACTATTAAGCTATAAGAGCCAGATGGGACCCTAGAAATTAGCTAGCCTCAAAACCTCAGTTAATAGATGAAGATTCTTTAACTCAAAGAGCTTAAGTGACATGTTCAAGGTCACACCTTGATTACTGGTAGAGTCAGGGATAAAACCCAGGGCTTAATTTTCTATGCTCTTTCTATTACTCATATGGTCTTTTTCTTAAATCTGAAAATGGAAATACATGCTGATTTCCTACACAAATATTTCCATAAACTGTTGATCAGACTCACTGTACAATACTCAAGAGATCCTCTCCGATTCTCCGAAGCCTCTAAAAGCTGCCAACTCTAACTACTATGGTTGATATAGAAAGACAAATATTGTTAAACTAAAATAACAATATAATCAATAATTTACTATGGGTTCTTAGTGTTAATGGGTCGATCGTATTTTTCCTTACATTTTAAATACGAATTATGTTCATTCTTTAATACACTGGTTCTTGAACCTGGTTACACAGCATAATCACCTCAGTTGCTTTTAAAATGCCTAGTGCTCACACTACATCCCAAATTAATTAAATTGGAAACTCCGGGGTTGGGGGGCGGTGAGACTCGGGCACTGGTATTTTTTTAAAACTCCCAGGTGATTCCAATATGCAATCAACTTTGAGAACCAGGGTTTTAATAACTACCGGAACTTTAATATTTCAGGAGGTATTAGATCAAAAGAGCTAAACTAACACATTCTTTCACATTGTCATCAACTATATTAATCCACTTTCCTTAAAAAATTATGAGAGAAAAATCTGACAGCTTTCTAAAAAAACCTCTCAAATCATAGAATGTGAACCACATTTTTTCTTTAGCTGGTGTCACAGAGAAACAAATGGGACTCAATAAACGCACAAAAAAGAGTAATCTGAGCTCATAATCATGGACATGTGTTCACTGTTGTTTCCATACACATAGCAGAGAGCAACTACTGGGATATAATGAACCACACTCATAAGTTAACTGATTACAGTCCCTTTTCCAAAGCTAATTCTGATAGGTTTCTTCCTTGATTTAAGTCATTAGTAAATGAAAACTGTTTGCATTTCACGAGCATGTTTAAACATCTCAGGTTTTGTTTTCTCTAATGGAAGACAATGTGATTGATTACTTATGGGGTCACATGAGTGATCAAGAGAGAATTTTAATCACTGTGAATAAAAAAATAATAAAATTAACATAAAATTAAATAAACGTGTTCACTGTTCTTTCTAGTTACAAAAACTTAGTTATGATAAATATTTGTATTTCTAACTTTCTTCAGAGTACAATCAAACCATTTTCTGAAACCTTCCTGACCTGTTTCTTCATAGAAAATTCTGATTTGGCCCTGATCTTGCCTATTTTTAGTCCCAACTACATAGTAAACTGATAAAGCTGAATATTTCTCAGTGCTTGCTAATTGAAATTTGATTCAAATAAGAAAAACACATTAAAACATTTATTTTTTAATGATTTATTTTAACAATTTATTTTTTACTCTCATAGCAATCTGACAAGATTTTTCTTAATATTTCAAAAATAATTATTCTGATCCAAGCATAATTCAAAAAAAAAAAAATGTCTACTTACAGGTATTATCCAGTTAGCCACGTCACCATATTTGGAAACCTGCATTGCTCCTAACATCGTCATATTGACATGTCCCCTGAGAAAGGAGAAAAGTAAATATAAAGCAACTTCACATGCTTTATGTCCCATCTGCTTGAAATTGCCAGCAATTAAAATAAATAATTCTATATTCCTCAAATACATTTGTTTTCCCCCACCCAACACCTGATTTCCAAATACATCAGCTCAAGTCAATGAAGAGAAATAACCATTAAGAGTTCTTTAAAAAATTATAGCCTATATTTTCTCCAAAAAACAATTAAAAACAGGGGTACACAGTGAGTTTGTTTCATTTACTGAGGGAGAATGTGGCTTGATTTACAAGCAAACACTAGCTAGAAAATGAACACACGATTTGTAGACAATGTTAGGATCCTCAGAAAGAACCTTTTAAAATGTTTACTTCAGTAGAGTCGTCACACAGATCTATATTCCATTTGGGGACTCCTTTAATAATAGCAGGCTGCATGTTCCAATTCCCAACATTCAGTGTGAATAATTTCACATTTTGGTATAGCTGAACTAGCCCAAGATCATTTTCTGGCTGAGAAACATGGCTGTTTCAGATCCTTGCTAACACACTTGGTAGATGACTCAGCTCATTCTACACTGTGTGAAACATGAGGGGCTCCATTATTACATACCCTCTAATCATGGCAAATGATTCATCGCTGGAGAAATAAGAGGCTCCTGGAAGAACAGTAACTGTTTCCTTGCCTAAACGCACACATGCACACATGCAAGGGTGAGAAAAGAAAAAAAAAGAAAAAAAAAGGCTATTAGATTTCTAAGAGTATCATGGTGGAGAGAGAAGTCTACACTTCTCTGTTTCCTGAAGAACCAAAGCTTCCTTTACCAAAGTGCAGTGGCAGTGGTGGTGTGAGAGACACAGTGGGAACTGTCCGCTCTGTAAAGAGGAGCATCATCACAACATTGTTCAGATCTGCTCTTGCATAGTAATAATAAAAAGCAGACCACCTTTTAATCTTATTGTTTGGAAATTCTCTACAGAAAATGCAAGCCCCTATACTAATGGTCCCCAACCTTTTTGGCACCAGTGACCAGTGCTCCTATGAGAATCTAATGCCTGATGATCTGAGGTGAAGCTGGGGTGGTGATATAGCACTGGGGAGCGGCTGCAAATACAAGTGAAGCTTTGCTCACTCGCCCTCTGCTCACCTTGTGCTGTGCCTGCTGCCCAGTTCCTAACAGGGCAGGGACTGGTACCAGTCTGCAGCCGGATGTTGAAGACCCTTGGTCTGTACCCTTCCTGGCCTCCCACCAGCCCTACTCCCTTCAAAAGCCCCTGCTAAAGGCTAGTAGGAGTGAGTAGGAAAGGAGTTCCTGGGATGAACCTATCAGAATCCAACGCTACTGTGATCACTAAACTGAAGAGATTGTGGAATAACTATGAAGAAAAGCAATTTTGAAGGGGATGACACAAGATGTCTTCAGATATTTCTTTAAAACCAATGAATAATCTAGAAAGAGAAGAACCACCTAATTCCTTCACATCAGTAGCCCTGAATCTCCTCTTTCACTCTCAATCTCTCTTTCCTTTCTTTCTCCTATAAGTTTGTATTAAAACCATAGGACTTTGATGAAACTGGGAACGACATTGTAATACTGGTCTACTTACTGAATGTTAACTTCTTCTTATGAAAACCTCCCTCAAAACTCACATCTCATAATAAAAGTTCAGAACTGGGAAAGATTTTCAGGGTCTTCTAGTCCCCACACAACTAACAATATCACCCGACTTGTATCTAAGCTGCTTTCTTCTTGTGATCTATTTCCTGTCTGTCCAGGAGCTTCCAGTGCCTGGGAGAAGCTTCTGGTTTCCACCAGAATGATGCTCACATGCCACTTTGTCAAAGGTCAGTCAAATGTGTGCGGACACCCCATGCATCACCCCAGTGTAGCAAGGCAGACAAAAAGAAAGGAAGGAAAGTTGTGATTCCAAGACTGAAACAGAGGAAGGCTCCTGAGCACAACAGGACCAACGTGCTCTGAAATCCCCTGCAATGCAACAGAGCTGTACTCTCAGCTTCTCGAGCCTTGCCTGAAGGCTAACTTCTCCATCAATATCTACCTCTATTTAAGCTCAAATATGGAGAAAGAGTAAGACTATTTATGTTAGGCTGAAATATTTATTCCCCAGAGGAGTTTGATTCTAAACAAAGGAAACATTTTCACATCTTTCAAAGAACGGTAAAGCTAAAAAGCTCTGGCAAACACTTTCTGGTGTGGTTAGTAAGAGCTTTTATTTAGACAGCACATAAGATTTGAAGGACGAAATGAAATAATGCGTGTGAAGTCCTTACTCTCGTGCCTGGCACATTAAAAGGGCTCCATGAACACCGGGTTTTATTAGTGTCATTGTTTGGCACTATTCCTCATGCCAAACCTACATACAAAAGCGACAATGCTGCTGCCTCTCAAGGAATAAATGCTACAGGACCAAGCAATGGGCTTTTACGGTGGGGTTTTACAGCAAGCCTGTGAACTCTTGGCCTTAGGACAGGTATAATACAACTAAACCTTATCCTAACACAGCTTCCACATACAGCAAATTCAGTTCCTCGCCAATCCTGTGATGTGGAGAGGCACGGAGGAATAATTTGTAGGACAATAAAGCTGAGAAACAAAAATTCTTTGTTCTCTATGTGTTAAATTACAGTGTCTTCCAAATGGCAATTTCTACTAACTGATAGTATATAGAAGGTGTTATTTACCACTTTATAGAAAACTTTGAGATCAATGCAGAGAGTTTTAGCCCAGAAAACAACTTTCATGAAAAACGTTGTCAGGATCATGCTAATACATTATGGTATCATGAATTACATTCTTCGGGAGCAAAGTTAGTTTTCAGCATTTTGAAACATCTAGTATCTAAACAAAAATAGATATCTTAAAGTTGAATCCATGTTTTTCAAATACAACATCCAAATGTGGTCAAGAATTAACTCTAACTAATAATACAACTGATATCTTAAAGAAAAAGCGCTTTCTTATTCAGCTATTTCTGATTCCCGGCTCCTCTAATTTTTTTGTGAGTGAAAGTCTAGATCCTTTCATAATATTTGAGCAATAGTGTGTCCCAATTTCACAGTTACTGAATCCTTTGCCTCATGATTTAACATGCCATTCACTCACTATCAAGTAAATACTACTATGTGCCTTGGAGAGTGTTACAAACAAAACACAGATACTCTGAACGAGCAGTTCTTAACTTTAACATCCACCAGAGTCACGTGGAAGGCTAATAAAAATGCAGACTGCTGAGCTCAATTGCCATTGTTTGTAATTCTGGAAGCATGTGCTGGGGCATCAGAATTTCCATCTTTAACAAGTCCTCATGATGGCAAGGCTGATGCCGTGGCTCTGGGGACCACACGTCGAGATCCACTGCCTTAAACAAAAGGAACATCCTCTCCAGCAAGAGAGATGAATGTATACTAATATGCTGCAGAAGGACTTGGAGAGGAAAAATGAACTGAGACCTGAAGGATAGGTATAATGTATTTCAATAGAAAATTACCAATAAAGAGATGGAGAAGAAAAAGGAAGGAGACAAAGCAAAAAAACTAGTGAACAGCACAGGAAGAGCCAAGGTACTTCCTTGGAGGAGGGAAAAGCATGAATTGTGACAGTCATGATCAGAGTGGCCCCAGCAGTCCAGTATGGGTGGAATCAGACAAACTTGTGGAGTACAGTGAAAGATAAAGCTGGAAGGTCAGTTGCAACCATTAGCTAGATCTTGAATGCTGTACTCTTTGTACATTAGGCTGTAGGCCTGTGATACTTCAGGTGTGGCACATATACCTACAGAACAGAGCTTCTCCTCCTCAGCATTACTGACATCTGGGGTTGGATAACTCATTGTAGGGGAATGTTCTGGCTATTGTAGGATATTTAGCTACAATAATGCTGTAGGCCTGTGATACTTCAGGTGTGGCACATATACCTACAGAACAGAGCTTCTCCTCCTCAGCATTACTGACATCTGGGGTTGGATAACTCATTGTAGGGGGATGTTCTGGCTATTGGAGGATATTTAGCAGCATCGCTGACTTCCACTCACTAGATACCAGTAACACTGACCAAGGCATAAAAATTAAAAACGTCTTGAGACATCGTTAAATGTCCTCAATGTCCCCTCTTTTTGCTGACTGAAAACCACTGCTATAGAGGCATAGGGCAAGGGCTAGGGATAGTTATAAGCCATGAGATTAACATGGTGGTTCTTTCTAAAGCAGTTTTAATCAAAGGTAGGTCATTTAAAACATTATTATTTGTATATTAAAATAAGAAAATGAATGTAAGAACTAGAGAAAACAAAAATGCATATTAATATGAAAGCTAAAACACAAGAGACTTGTTAGAAATTTCACAATTGCATTGGGAGACTGCAGATCTTCATAGGACCTCTGAAATGTTCTAAGCACTGCCTTTTGCACCTTTGTAAAACTCAGCTTACCAGAGGGTGTAGCTCAATGTCGAGAAAAAAGCCAGGGGCCCAGAGGAGAAGACAATTGCGTCTCATCCCTAGCAATGTTATCTTGAACACATTACTTCACTTTACTGGGCCTCGGTCTCCCAAACTGTGTAATGAGGTTTTACTCGAGGCTCAAATGGTACAATACATATGAAAAAGGATGCTGTAAACAATATAGTATTATACAAGTGGTAATTCATTTTTACATAATCATATGAGATTATTATTTTTAAAAAAGGACCCTTAGAAATAGTTCTATTATTATTTTAAAGTTTTGATATACTGATTATACCCAGAAACATACTCTTTATGTTCATTTCAAGGGACTGCTATAAAAATCCTCTCAAATTTATACAAATAATGGGCTGATCTTCCAGGTTAATCTACCAAATTTGAGGAGTTGAGGAAACCACCAATTTATATTCTGGATTCTCTACCTCTTAGTATTTTATCCCTGATTTAAACAGCTCCAGAATCAAGTGTCATAAATCCCAAAAAGAACTTTGATGAAAGAGTTAGAATATTATTAAAATGATTTGTAGCCTAGCTTCCCAAAAGCAATGAATTACTGTTTTACAAAGTAGTTTAAGATGATACGTGATATTTCAAAAGTTGAAATATAAAACTGGTGGCTTCATTAGGACGGAGCTACTTTTAAACTCAATGGAATCAAAAACACCTACCATCCAACAATTTCATTGAAAAGGTTAACTATTTTTCCTAGGAAAGTGGGTTTCATGAACTCAAGCCCAAAATTTGGAAAATGGAGTTATTCATTTTGCAAATAACTCACTAACATCATAAATTAATTAAACCAAGAAGCAATATTTTCACAGATCAATGAGCTATTGCTAAAAGGTACAGTACAATTAAATTACAGCCTTGGTTAAATGTCATTGCTTTATCACAGTGGGGCTTTCGGAGTTGAGTTGTGCTAACTAATTCGACTATTCAACCAGAAGCTGTTTTACTTCCAAAAATTCTAAGTACCAAACATCAATTCTACTTGGCAGCTGGCCTTTATGTTCAGCTCATAAATCTTCTCTGAGATTTACAAATACTATTTGTGAATGTAAAGTAAGAATAATACTTTTGCAGAGGAAGAGGGAGTAGGAGTAAAAGAAGGGTAAAGAAAATCAGGCTAAAATACAAAAATTAGCTTCTCACGGGCAGCCCCATCCTAAGGATAATTTTCAGCCCCAAAACAGTGGCAATGTTGCCTCAAGCATGGCAGTGACGACAGCCAAAATGTCTGACCTGTCTTTCCTCCTCTAGGCTGCTAATACATGCGAGCCTATGTTCCAGTCAAATAAAAAGCTAACAATAAAGGTAAAGCATCTGAGGGTGGGAACAATGATGTGACAAGTCTAGTATTCTCAATTCAAAGAAACTCTAATTATTACTCATATCACTGGGTCCTACTTAGTGACAGAGCATATCTTTCAGCACCCTTGAAGCTTTGAAGAATGCTCGCCCAGTCTGATGACAACTAGAGGACAATAAGTATCTCCTAAAACAAAAACCCCAGTGAACCAGATCTTTTATTTTTGCCCCTATGGATCCACTCTCCCACCCTTCTCATCATGAGAAGGCAAACCTATTTCAACCTGAGGTTGTCCAACGCAAATCTCAAGCAGGAGACCCAACAGAGGAGACCTTCACCCAAGTTGTGGCAAGATGGCTGCGTTCCCCTCCCAAAGGCCACCGTTCCTGTTAGGTGGCCCTCTCTTACAGCTGCCTCTTCAGGCCTAGGGATGATGATAACTTCCAGTGATACTTTATCATCCCTTCCTGGTTTCCCTTGATCTTGTCCACACCCTTATAAATTATCCCTTCCTTTCATTCTCCTCATGACCCCATTTGAGAGTGCTCTGTATTGAGAGCCAGGACCCTGACTAATTAACACACCAAAGCTCTTGCCATGATGTGTAGCTCCGCTTGCAACTTCTTCTTTATCTTAATCTGCCCTAAATAAGAAGAGACAAGAAGCCAGGCAAAGATGAGACTAGGAAGACTTATCTCTCTTCTGCAGTGAAAAGTACAGTGGAACACTCTCTAGGAAAAGACAAAGAATCGAGCTCAACTTACTATTATTTGCATAGAACTAAATTAATAGCAAAGGAAAACACTAGAAAAACATTTAGTGAGTATACCTGCATTGATTAAATCTGCATCAACTTCATTTGGTAGTGGATATGGACCCTGTCAAATAAAGCCAATTAGTCAATTAGAAGTTTTTCACTGAATCACATACTAAAACTGTAATATAACTTTTCTAAAAACTGTAATATAACTTTTCTAAAAACTCAAGGAAATTATCAAAAGGCTTGAGGTGAACCCTGGAAAACTAATTCTGACGTTTTCATGGCTCTCTTTCTCATATTGATTAGTCTTTTCCACACTAATAATTGTGACTGAGTAAATTAAAAATATTTTCTAAAAATTACCAACATTTTAAAGAAACGTCAAGTTGTTAGAAATATAGGTCAGTAAAACAAAAAGTAAATATTTACTACCTACTACGCAGCCTATGTTATTCATAAATCTCTCTCTTTAGTGTCAGTGCATATACGCTGAATGGCTGCATTATTTAGCTAGAAGGACCTGGAAAGACAAAGTTTCAGCTTTTTGGTATGCAGCAGCTAAAGTCTTCAATTTAGGGTTTTAACCTTACCTCTCACGACATGTAAGTTTGGCAACCTTTATTATCCCTTTGCCCACTTATTCTCAGTAAGTTTTAAAAATTTTTTCTATGTATTTTTTATAAGGCATCTCTAATTACTTGGATGTAATTAGAGATGCCTTATATTAAACAAAAAGAGAGAAAATAAAAAGTATAATGAGGATATATTGGTTGCAAAATTTTAACAGACTTTTGAAGGGACCAAAAATTTATTCTTCAAATAAACTGAAGTGGCGACTAATGTTTAGACCTACGTAAATTTTCCTTTAAACATTGACCGTGGGTAATTCACATAAACTTATTTCTCTTATCATCAAAATGAGGGAGTTGATCACTCTAGATAACCTCTAAGGTACTTTAACAATATAAGTCTTTGACTTCATCCAGACATATATCATTTTTGTGTCTTTGAAAATGTCATTATTAATGCCTCAATTGGTATTGACTATATGCTCGTGGTCATTATTTATATTTTAAATACTAAATATACGTTTTCTATATGTGCAAATTTTATTGCATTAACAGTTAATATATCAAAGTGGAGGCTTCAGAAGAGTAGCCAAGAGGTCATTTTTGTTGTAAAACATATTTTATTTTCATTAATGTTAAGATCTATGAGGAACAATAAAGATTAGGACTATTATAAACTGGCAAACTCTAAATAATCTTTGCCACAGTTAATAATTAAACAGAAAATGTCATCTAGGAAGGAAAAGTACTTCTTACATTTATTATAATACTGCAAAAAAAAAAAAAAAAAACTGTGGCTGAATTCTATGAGAACACTGAGCTCATGTGGAAGGTCAGTCTTGAGGAAAAGAAAAGTCTACCCTTTGGACAACATGACCTTTAAAGAATAATTAGATGAGAAGCATTTCTAAGACTTTTTGAATTAATCAACTGTCAAAAAAATGTCCCTGCCCCAAGAAGAAACCTTACCCTTCAGTTTGCATTCAGAGCCTTGTGGCTGAATTCTATGAGAACACTGAGCTCATGTGGAAGGTCAGTCTTGAGGAAAAGAAAAGTCTACCCTTTGGACAACATGACCTTTAAAGAATAATTAGATGAGAAGCATTTCTAAGACTTTTTGAATTAATCAACTGTCAAAAAAATGTCCCTGCCCCAAGAAGAAACCTTACCCTTCAGTTTGCATTCAGAGCCTTACTGATTTTTGTTTAATGTAGAATTGCTAACGACCTTTATTCATGTCCAACCACATAAGCATTAAAAACAGTTAACTAAACAGTAAAGCAGCGAGGCCTCTCTGAAGCAGGGCAGTACGCTAGGGGAAGTGGAAGTTGATAAACTGACAAAGGACGAGCAGTCAGAGCTCACATAGGAAATTAACTATGTAAAATATAACACTACATACAATTATCGCCATTTTATAGTAAAGTTAAATATTTTATTATGATGATAAACAGAAAAATGAGATTGAGAACTTTAAGCTAACAACTCTCTGTTGTAAGAAGATTTCACTATATGGAATATCTCGTTTTCCATCAAGACTATATAAATAAAACTTTAATTTCTATCTTACCAAACCGAGGATTCCATTTTCACTTTGCAGATAAACAGTTATATTTGGGTTAATAAAGCTGCTGGCCAAAAGTGGGATCCCTATGCCCAAATTAGCTGGAGAAGAAAGGATGTTAAGGCACAATGCAAAAAAGGTAGAAAGATTAAGCCATAAATCTTCTACATATATAAATCTGAAGAGAAGGCACTTTAAAGGTACTTGCTTTGAATGGAATCGCTGAATACATTCTCAAGTCACCCTCTAGGCACTATTTTGTAATTAATCACAGCTTTTTCAGTAACAGTAATATGTGTTCCCATAAATATATCAAAGTGGAGGCTTCAGAAGACTAGCCAAGAGGTCGTTTTTGTTGTAAGACATATTTTATCTTCATTAATGTGCTCAGCAAGTTTGGACTGATGTATTATTAAACATGGCTCGGCCTTTGTTTAAAAGCAATTATCAGTATTCAAAACTCCAATTAAAAATAGATGATTTATTATTCTTAAAAAAGGACTACCATTTCTAAATTTCAAAAAAGTTTTCTGACAATACCATGTCTGCCTAAAAGCGTATCAACTCCTTTCGGTCACTGTGACAACATTCAGTGGAAACTGAGTCTTCCCTAAGACGTAAGCAGGGGGAGGTTTCAGTTTCAATGAGTACAGTTGAGACCATAGAAAAGGTAGCTAGCTGTGTAAAGGCATCAAAGAGCTAACTGAGGGTGATGAATCTTCTTCCTTAGATGATCAAATTAGGGTCAACCCTGATTTATGTAAATGGTGGGGGTTTAGTCTTGCCTCTCAACACAAGCAGGCTGACCAGAGCAGAGATTTGTTGCCTGGAATGACTGCTTATGCTGTCCACTACCACTGCAAAGTGGCGAACACCTATTGCTGTTTGAATGCATTCAAAATCCAAATACTCATTGAACTAAATTATCACTACCTACTTCTTTTTTGACAAAGTATTTAAAGCAAAATTTGAAAAATTTATTGAATACACTTACAAAACATTAGACATAAAAGGGTCCACTCACGAGACCTTTGTCAGGGGAAACAGGGGTCGTTAAGAAGTTGGATCTTGTGTTTCACAGAGTATGCAAATATCAGAACACAGAGAAAGTAAATAGCACTGGTTATAACTAGTACTTCTGAGATTTGAAACTCTCGTCTTGGGTAATCTCTTTTCCCAATAACCTTTAGCCAAATGCCAAATTGTACTGAAATACATTGTATATTAGAAAATAGCTAAGCAAATTTTTGGTCACCATTTTGCTTCAAGCAGGGAAACTGATTATAATTCCAATTTCATATATTTGATATTTTTAGGTTATATGCCTATTATGTAAAACTTGATCAATTGCTTTAAAAGTTACAACAGACTAGGAAAGAATTGCTATGCAGGAGGCCTAGTAGCTTGATAAATATGGGAAAGACGATGGCTACGTCTTTGCCTGGTCCCAGAAAAATAAAGGATACCATACATGCCGTCCTCAAATTCAAGAGCCGCTCGCCTGATGATACGTTCCCTCACGTTATGGCCACGTCCATCAGATTTGGTTTTTACATTGTCCTCTTTCCGGATTGATAAATTCTTTAAAATAAAGAGAAATAAACTACTGTTGAGGTACACCTTGGATTTTGTAACTATTAAAGTATAAAATTTACTGGAAAAATCAACTCTCTCCTATAACTACTATGAGGCAAATCTGCAATATAACAGAGTTAAAAAATAATTAAGATAGGTGACATTTGATAACAGAAATAATTCTTTAGAAAGTAAGTAAAAGAGGTCAGATTTATTTGAAGAGGAAGATATACTTGTTCTGTTTCTTTGAAGCAAATAAACACTCTGTTACTATTATGCTGACTGCTACCAGTGCCTCTTAAGGATCCTGCAACTAAATTCTCTTCAGATGCTCAGGACTGAGCCAGAACAAAGAAAAAGGGAGTAGACCTTGAAACTGTTTTTGCAGGGCTGTCAGAATGTGTTTACCAGTTGTTACTGTTCTCAATTGCCTATTTTCACCTGCAGAGTCTAGGCTGGTTTTGCTACAAATGCTTAACAGAGATCACAGAAATATCCAGAAACCAGCCAGGAAAGTACTTCCATTGCTAAATCTCCTTGACAGACTTTGGTTCCTATTTTCAAATGTCCCATTCTTTCTCCCTAGCCCCCTGACATTAGTTTTGGATTGCAGAATGTCTTTCTGTTCTATGTCCACAGGGTACAGGGGTGTCTCTGAGTTCCTGATATCTCTATTGCATGTCTATTCTGTTGCTGATCCCTAGACCCTTACAAATCTTGGTATCAATTCTGGCCCAGCTGGTCATTCTTCATGCTCTGAGGATATTTGCAATACCTCCAACACCCCTAAAAGCCACTCTTTGCCATAGTCACCTACCGACCAGCTACATAGAGCCCAATGCCTAATGCTAATGGGAAATTATGTTCTTTCTGGACTCTATAAAGTGCAAAGCAACTTCAAGATAGATAGACATTTCTGAGCAATCAAATGTTAAGAGCCCAGCAGGGGTAAAGCCATCACAGACCTGATTAGCTTCTCTACCCTACAGGAAAGGAAAGATGCAAAACTATACAACATAAATTAGGATAGTTACAGAAGACTGGAAAACACAGCCTACAAAATCATATAACTTGGCAATATATACCTTGTGAACACAATGCACTGTGGGGCTGGATAACAATAACACAGATGATCATGTCCCTTCATGATGGTCACATGAGAAGCTCTTATTAATAATCAAAGCAAGACTTCCTGTTCAGTTCTAATTACCTATCATCTGGAAAGACCCCAGGAACACATATCTCTAATAATCAGATGCCAAGGAGCTAAGTCAGTTACCTCAATTCTTTTCTCATATTTTTCTCCCTTTATAAGGCGATCTACATAAATCTGAGGAACATGAATGTCTTCTGGGGCAAATGACCCAATATCCACAATTTCTTCAACCTAGATAGAGAAAAAAAAATTTTAATTAAATAGTAAAATTTTAAACTGAACATTTTTTATTCAAAAAATGAAGTACATGCATCTTTACCTCCAACTTATGTTGGATACACAATGTAAAAAACATATACACATAATGCACACACATGTGTGTGTGTGTGTGTGTGTGTGTGTGATGTTTACCATACCTTCTGGACCCATAAAAAGGAAATTCAAATATGTGTGTCTGAACATAAAACACAGAACGTAAACTCCAGAACTTAGTCTTTGCCTAAAAAAGTCTGTTACAAATTTGTCAAATGATTTGGCAGTACAGCTGCTTGAACTTTCACAAACTGCAGTTCGACTATGCAAACCTGAAAGTACATCCCTTAAGACCAGTTTTTCCAAAATTAATGGGACATTTATCATATCAAAAACAAAAATCTATAACAACATTTGCTTAGTCAATCAAAGAGCTTTTTAAATATAGATACAAATGCTATCTATAATAGTTTTTAATTAGTCCTTTTGTTAGCTTCCTAGGATCATGATAGTACTGCAACCTCTGAAATAATTTTACTTAAAGACAGCTTAGTAATTTCAATATGTAAATTTTTAAAAAAAGGAAATATTAACTAATAACTAAAAACACTCAATGTAATTAGAATTAGAGTCAGTCAAAGAGTAAAAGGACATTTTATAGCAATATGAAATGCCCCAAGTTAGCTAGTTATTTTAGAATTCATTTTAAAAAATGAAAAAGTAGTATTTTACATCAACATTAAAAAAAAAAAAATCAGAACAACGAGGAACAAGAAAAACTAAGGTCAATGTTGTCCTGGTCAAAGAATTATCTTTCTGGCGCCAAGAAAAAAACCATGATCTTGAATACTGTGCATGCTTAGCTGAATAAATTCCGTACCCAAAGCAAATAGCTATTTGCTTCAATGAACTGACTTATATAAGGATAGTTGTATTACACTGGTCTCCTAAGCTAATAATTGAACTCTCCAGAAGTTTTTGAGGTGAAGAAGCCCTACTTATGTATTCCACCATGTATGCCCACACTGTGCTCCTCCTACAATGAAAGGATACCAGGGGTTACAAAAGTCGTTTTAGTTGTTGTGCACTGCTTCTAAATAACTGAAAAGGAACAGGACTATGGTAGATAAAAGCTATCTTCTTTGATAAACAGAAGGATCTTGACCAAAATCAAATAAAAACTCCAAGGAAGAGTCAGGAAACGTTTGTACATCTAGGCAGAAACAGTGGCTGGAGATGTATACCAATAGTCATCTGAGAACAAGTCAGGGGCAGGCCAGGGGACTCCCCCATCACTGTACTCTGTATCTTCCCTTCCAAACCTCTCTATGTTCTGGTGTTTCCCACTCAAGATGGTGACCAGATAATGAGGAAGTGGAGGCAGGACATGCAAAGCAGCTAAGGACTATTGCTATCTCTTTCACTGGATGGGACTCTCAGCCATTAGGGCTCATTCAGGTCCTTACACTTATTCATTCAACCCTTCAAAGAAGTTCTTGACTTTAAGAATTTGTTTCTACATTAATCCATTATCCTGAGGACAAATATGAAGACTTCTTGTGAAAATACTAATCACAGCATTTGTTAAAATGTTATTAAAACAACCTAAATGGTTAATAATAGGATAATGATAAAATATGTATGGTGTATCTATAAAATGAATCAATATTATGCTCTGATATTTAATGACATTTCATAATTTAATGTTTTATAAAAAGTGTAAGATTTTGTATAAATACTTACAAATGGCTCTTTGGCCCAAACAATTATTTCTATACCTACCAAAGACTGAAAGGAAATATGCTGTAATGCTAATAATTAGTATCTCCGGGTGATAGTACATTTTGTTTTCCTTTAACTTATATAATCAAGGAAATCTATGATGTTATTTTTTTTAAAGACGCAATAGATACCAAGTAAGTAGTTTCCAAAACTAGAAAGTACATAAGTAGGGGATGTGATAAACCCCTTAATTCATTAGACAGGTACCAAAGAGAACATGTTAAAAAGAAAATAGAGACTCTGAGAAGAACTGGTTTCTTACCTCTGTAAGCACTTACAACTTACGGAATAAATTCAGAAAACCTTTTTGCTGACATTTTCAAAGATAATAATGTGAATTATTCTCCATGTCTAACGCTGTTCCAAAAGTTCAAACCCTCATATTTCTTGCTTGAGTTACTGCGGCAGCTTCCTAATTGGTCTCCCTGCCTTTATCCTTCAGCAGGGGCAACAAATATAATGAAAATGGCGGGGGCGGGGGGCGGAGCGGCAGGGAAGCAATACTTCTCACTTAAACAGAAATGTTGATAGTAACCAATCACTATTTTCTTGGTTTCACCAAATAAAGTTTCTACAAAAAAAAACACCAAATTAAGACAAAGTTTCTTCACTAAGGGCAATCACATCATGACTTTCGCAACGAATAGAATGAAAGATCACGTCCTGGTGAAATAACTCTGATGAAAAGCCAGGCTCTGGTTAAACATAATCAGTTCCACACTGTCATTCTAGCATGATTTCCAAATTGCAGAAAATGCATGTGCAGCATTTATCAAAACAACATCAACACTCGACAGTAGTGAAAATATCTATACAAAAATCAAAGCTTTCTCAGAGTTGGTTAATGAAGTTAACACCGAAGGAAAAAAATAATTTAAGTACGAACCAAAAGAAGAAAACACACGTTTTCAAACAATCTGTGAAAAGAGTTTTTTAAAAAAAACTGAGGAGGCAGAACTATCTTAATGCTAGCTACTGAAGGGACGACTAAAGGCTTCTGTGCCAGTTTTGTGTAACCATGAGAAAGAACAGTAAGAAAGCACCAATGTAGGGGGAAAGTCTAGTGAGATGAGGAAATACGAAAAAATATGAAAAGAAAAAGATGAATAAAATGAGCTTATTAAGGAAAAAGTGAAAAGTTCATAAGAGCCCTCATTAATGATGGCAGAAATGCACCTCATAAAATCACAAGTGGATAAGATAGAGAATAAAGAACACTGAAAACGCCTCAGCGCAAAGCAATGGGCATGTGTAAGTGTCCTCAGATGAGATCAAGATGGAGGAAAGGTAGCTGAGAACCATCCAGACTTCTCCCTGGCATGATGCACAGTTCTTATGCAGCACCATCTGCTACATCTAAAAATCCAGACACTTGAGGCTTCTCTAATTAGTACTTGTCTTCAGTCATTAGCAGGAAAATAGAGGCTAGAAAATGTTAATTATTATTGATTTAAACTTTGTTTTAAAAGGTTGCTTTCTCTGCCCTGTTCTTTTCCTATTTTATATTTCTAAAAAGTTTTATTTTAAAGCTCAAATAAGAATAAGAATGCATCCTTGGATGACAATGTTTTTGTTTTTACTTGGCAAACATTATTTATATCTCAGGCAAGGGAAGGAACAGAGACGCTGCCAGGCAATAACTTTTTTATTTTTTATTTAACCTCAATCCATTATAGCCACAAAAATGGGCCCGATCCTGAAGGCTGTTAGTGAAAAAGCTGCACACCTGCAAATGTGTGATGCAAAGTGAGGGCTGTGGTGGGAGGGAGGAATCACATTACAGAATTTTTTCCCTGAGTCATTTTAACTTTCGAAAAGGTTTAGGATGAACATTCTTCTTTTATCAAGAAATAAAAAAGCAAACGACAAGCAATAATGTCTGGAATCCTTAGAAAAACAAAACAAAACACTATAAATAATCCCAAATTAGCAAAAGCTGAAGACTAGAAAAATGGAAGGAGGAGGCAATGAGCAATAACAGAAAAAATTACAAGTTAGATGCAGAGGTGCTCTGGATCTTAATTTAGCCCAGAAAATGGGTAAGATGAAGAGAAAACGTGGAGAAAAAGGTCAGCATGCAGGGAACATCCTTCCCAAAATCCAAAAGAGAAAAAAAAAATTTTTTAATTAATTCAAAGGAGCAAGATGGTGCATATCTTCTTAAGCTTCATGCTAAGGGATGCTATGACTAGTGCAAAAATATAGGAGAAAATGACATGAAAGCAAAAAGGGCTTGTAGCAAATATATATTTACTACAATATATATTTACTATGTAGACATATTTACTAGATGTCTACATAGAAATGCACAAGGACTGAAAAGATGAGCGGCTATTAAAAAATTTGCAATCTTAAAAGTGGCAGTAATTATGATTGCACAGTCATTATTGAAACTGATCTAGTTAATTGGATCTTTACCAACAGACAGTCTGCAATGCCCAGTGAAAATAAGCTGACAAAAGAACATGCTATGTCAAGAAAATATGCACATGCCTGGGGAGCCACAGACCTAGTGATGAAATGTGGGAAAGTATATTTAAAGTGAGTTGAAAAATAGAAGGATTATCACATTAATGACCACATAATCAGAGTACTTACCAAATTAAAGATGTAGATGACACATTTTATAGAAATGACAAAATTGGCTCAGAAATAAGAATAGTGATATCATGAGACATACCAATTATTTGAACATCTTCTGTTCAAATTTTGCTAATAAATTCTACATTGCCTTCTGACGAGTTCTATCTTTCAGAATGAAACAGTGAGAGAAACCATGATTCTGGATTTCTAACCAATGAAAATAAACTGCTTGGTAAAGTAGAAATGATAGAAACCCTGAGAAGTGACCAAGCAAAATTGGAATTTGTAACAGACAAGGAACTGAATCTTGGACATACATAGAAATGTATCCTGGTCTTTGAAGAAAAGCAGATTTCGAAAAGTTGAGAAGAAAAAATAAGCAGGATCTATTGGTCAGAAACTCTAAATGATGAATGGGCTTATCAGGCTCTTAAAACCCTCATTCTGACAACATGAAAATAGATCATCTTGATGATGAAAAGAATGGTATATAAGTATAGCAAGGATAACTATGTTTCCTCATATCTTAAAAGAGAGATACCCATGACCTAGGACAAAAGGGAGTCACATGAAACTTTAAGAGATATGTCAAAGGCACAAAACTAGAATGAGAT